CAGTCTATATGTATTTATTTGAACAAAATTGGTGATTTGATGTTTTAAACTGTTTGAAATAGCCAAAAATTGTCATTCATCTCTTTTATATAAATTGTATTCGTTTTGAAAGGTATTGGGAGTTTTCGACAATATTTTTCTGTGTGTGGTGTGCTCTTTATCGACATGCGAGTACATCTATATTTTTGGAAAAGTTGTTCACGATATAAATGTGTCGATAATAGCTTTGGAAATGCGCGTAGTTTAACTAGTGACGCCTATTAATACTCTGACGGTTGAATTTTCAACTCGTCAAACGCAGATTCCAGCTTATTGAATGGATGATTTTTCAGTTAGTCCAAGTTCCATTCAATCGTAGAATTTGTCGCAGAGCACGCAGCTACAAATGACATGGACGTACCAATTAGATTGACAATTAAAAATGTCAGCTTAGACCTGTGAAAAATAAATTTTCAAGAATTTTACAAATTTCAATCTTATTTTGAAAACAAATTGCACATCTGTCTATTGGCAAACTTCTCGAATACACTTGAGTCTTGGCAGTATGAAAGCTTATGGACTTCTAAGACACTTGAACTTACCTTCGTTGGAAGTATCAAAGACGCTAAGGAACAATGATACGTAGGTGGATTTGGATACTAGCTCAGCGTTGAATTTCAAAATATGTAGCCCAACTCTGAATTTACTTGACGCACATAAACATACGTATATATACATTTCTATTCATGAATTTCAAAAGCGCATCTGGAGACTTGTTGTAAATCCAGATAAATTATTCATAAATATTTATGTTTATTACCTTTTTCATATATTATAACATAAACTCGAATCTAATATATAGGGTATAATAAATAAATAAGTAAAATAATAAATAAAAGTAGGGAAAGGTGTGGGCTAATGCACCCTGAAATCAAATTTTTGCTGATGCCTTCATAAGTGAGCCAATTAACTTTGGAATAATAATTTACGTTTAGTGCTGTATTTTCTATAAAATTCTCTCATTGTTGATTTTAAGGAACGGTTTTCCATATTTCAAATTGATTTTAGAAAAAGCATACATTTGAATTTTCCGAATAATCGGTACTCGTAATTTTGATCATTTTTAATATTTTCAAAATCTATATTCGGTTTTTGGCTGGTGGTTTTATTATACCTTAAACTGTAGAGCCAGTCATGATGCATTTAAAAATCTTCTCCTCTCTCACGATTCCAAAGGTGATACGGGAGGTAATGCTAACTAAGGAGCTGCATGCTAATGACTATAGGAAACCAAGACTAATGTGTACAGGTACCTAACTATACCTCTGCTGTGTTTCACATGAACGTAGTTCTTGAAGTAATAATAATAACAACAACAATATATACGACTACTAGTAATCGCAAGTTAAATTTTGTTATTCATTTCAAATTTTGTTACGCGCTACATAAACCGTCGAATATATATTAATGTTGCAGTTAAATAGTTACTATTTTATTTTAATTTCTTTTCTGATAGCTTCTATAAAGTAGAAAATCTCAAAACTGCCTGCGTCTTATGATCTCAGTGACGAACGTTGAGAAAAATATTTAGATATATTTTTAGGGGATATTTTGACTTGACTTTTGGATAGCTGTTGTGTCCCAGACATTGTTCTGGTGCGCTAGAAAGGAATAAATTAAAACACGAGATTTTCAACTAGGAAAATGAATTAATAAGGGAATGATTTTATAGAAATGACAAACAAACGTGAAGATCATTGTTAGAGCGAATGAGAGAAGATATGCTGTAATTTTAAAAGCTCGCTAAAAATAAAAATAAAACATTATTCCTTACAGGTCACTGATTTGTGAAATATGAGTGGTATGTCATTCGCAATGATACATTAAGAGGTTAGTTTTTTCAAGTGAATGGCTTTTATATATAAGCTGCGAGGCGATTATTTTGTCTCATCCTTCCCTAACGTTAAACATTTCATATGTGATTTTTTTATGGCGACAAAAACTGCTCGTATTTCAATTGACGGCAAAGCAAAACAAAAACTATACACGCGAGTAAGTTACGATGACACTGATGATGAAAGTAAGCCGCCGTCGTAAAAAGATTAGCTAGCGGGCGCAGAGTAGCGCGACGTGGATAACGATGAAGAATCTACGAGCATCAAGCTACATCGTGATCAATCGCTCGGTGTTCTCCGTTCCGCTTTAGTCGAAGCAATTCTTTATCGGCCAAGACAATTAAAATTTGTTTCCACGCTCGACCGAATGATCGATGCCACAAGCTGGCACAGCCTCCCCCTCTCCCTCTCTTTCTCTTTCTTTTTTACGACAGGTGAGATACGAGATTTTTAAGCCGACAGGATACGACGTAATCGGGAAGGATACCCCTTTTGCTCTTGCGGCTGTTGCTGCTCTGTTCCCGACAGCTTTCATGTTTGCTGATGGAAGATAGACAAGATTGCTTTTGCTAAGCTATGTTTATGTTTCATCAACCTCGTGTCTCGTAAAACTAAGCAGTTTCGTATGAAAAAGCTTCCCCCCTCTCTCTCTCTCTTTTTTCTTTTTTTTTCTTTTCAGATTATGTTTATTTACGGACGGTAAGATTCAACTTTCGTACGCTATAAAAATAATATCAAAAGTTAGCAAATAAGCGAAAGAATTATTAAGAATAAACTAACATTTCTTCGTGATATAAAATTTACGAACATGTTCATGAGTAATCGACAACTTAGCGTCCTGAGATTTCCATTCAACAATATTCTGCGAGATGGATGAATACCACAAGACCAATTTAACACTGCACTTGGTAATTGGATGATTTCCCAACGTTAAGGGCGAAATTTCACGGAATGCCTTTGGTTTGAAAGTTCTGTCAACGAGGAGAACGCACATATTTTGAGAGTAGTTTGAATAGCACACTTCCAGGCTGCATTTACGACTTTATACCGCCTGTAGAAGTACCCGCATGATATTATTAACGGCTACTCAACTTCGACGCGGAATAGTTACATACTCACACACACATATGGCTTTAATATACTGTTCTATTTCTTTTTCGCTGTAGTTATATAACGATAGTAATACTTAGATAATCAAGAAATATTGACTTTAATATAACTACGGATAGATTTCCATTTTTACTTTTTTCTATTGGGGAAAGAATGGACTAATCAACGCCACGCGACAAAAAATTGAGATATATTTTCTTTATTCTAGAATAAATTTTACGTTCTGTGAACTATTTTATATGAAGTTAACGAAGTATCTACTTTAATATTCTCATTACCGTTTTTGGGTAAAAATATATTAAGAAATAGAGGCAGCTTTGTCATACATATAACGTTGTAGTCCTTGAACTAAAAATCACAGCCATACCGATTTTGCAAGTTTTACCAGTGTTTGAATATTAATTTCCAAGTAAACACTTGTATCAAGTGTATCTTGCAAGGCGGCTTCATTAGCAACAACACTAATGAAGGTAAATATCTTCAAGAACGCCTTAATGCATCGGTGAACGCATAGAATTAAGCGTCTTTCTTTGCCAAAAATTAGGAAAAAAATTCAAATACAAATGATAAAGCTTGTCGCTGTGTATTTCAAAGTCAGCAGAGCGTATCGCATAATAAATATTCATCGGAGCTTCGCATCGTGATCAAAAATACTGCCGTAGTGAGGGAGAGAGAGAGAGAGAGAGAGAGAGAGAAAGAGCGAATCCCGGATAGCACGCGCGTCCGCTTCTATACGTAAAACGCGGACGGGTGGGATGATCTCTATTTACGTTATACCCACGAGACAAACCAGATCATCGCACGATTGCCTGTTTGCTGTGAATTCAGGTGGTATGGTTTGCTGATCGTCAAAATCCCCGCGACTTCCTTGGTTATTTAGAAAAAACTTGGCTATTCATCGAAACCAACGTGCTAGCTTGTTTTGCGTTTGCTGAGAAGATTACCATCTATAAGGGATGTGGGATAAGGGATTCTTTTTCTTCGCGGAGTGAGATTGAATTGGAAAAGCATTGAAATGTAAATACGCGATAAATATTTTTCTACACGTATTTATATCTATTATTTATTTTGAAATATCGTGTGATTGATTTTATAAGCAATGTTTTCCATTTAAATTCACTGTATGCACGATCAAGTTTAATGAAGCCACTGCCGAGAACAGAATTCAACTACAATACTTGGTCTCGCGATTGAAACGATTCACATAGATTGCCATTTCTCTAATCTGCGCGCGAAAGGAATTACTAGTATGCGTATGTAAAATATCATTGAACCCGAAGTATTCAAAATAAGTATATAAGGCTTCTATAGTATAGATAATTTGTTTGCATTCACGTCACCAGCTATTATTCTTGCTATTCTCAGCTACGATTTCTTTTTTCCTTTTATGTCGAATTCCGAAGAAAGAAAACAAAGATCCGTTGATACCGTAGGACAAAAGTTTAAGCCCATCGACTTGTTAAGTTTTATCGCGCGTAAGCGCTGCAGCTTAAGACACGCTGGAGCTTATTTCTTCATTTAGCGAACGAGTTAATTTAAAGTTCCAGCTGTTATTTCTCTCGTTTTCTCTTACATCTTGCCGACAAAGAATAAATCCACGAACCTCATAAAAAAACATCCTTTTCGAGGCAAAAAAAAAAAAAAGAGAGAGAGAAAGAGACAAGAAAACAAATTGAAAAGCAATTACACGTAAAAAGCTTACTTCCTGGAAGTGTAATTACTTGGCTTGGTTGTCGTCAAAGTGTGCTAGTTAACATGCAAAACTTGAGTGATCGAATTCCGGATGCTTTGTGTGGCGTTTAACGCGCTTACAACGTTTCCATATCAAGTGCTTGCGCTATAAGTACGTCCTCTACAATCTCGCCCTCTTTGTCGAGTGCGACAGGCACAATTTTCGAGAATATGACCATGAAATGCTTTACGCATTGTTCTCGAGGGCCTTTTGCTTTGAGGCTCGCAGTTTAACGTGAAAATCAAAGATTCGAAATGTAGTTTTGACGAATTGTTTATTCACAGGTGACGTGGATAAGACGTAAAAAGGATCATCAGCTTTTAACGGTCGGCTTGACAACTTACGCAAGCGACGAGCGCTTTCAAGCGCGTCACTTTCAACATAGCGAAGACTGGACCTTACAGATCAAGTATGTTCAGTCAAGGGACGCAGGCACCTATGAATGCCAGGTCTCTACTCATCCGCCCACTAGCATATTTCTATTCCTTGAGGTTGTCGGTGAGTAAGATTCGCTTTACTAGATTATCGTCTTTTATGTGACAGTCTGGATTAATCGAAATTTTGACTACATAATCGACTACATGCTTGATCAATTCTGACCATCAAATTACTCGCAGATCAAATTTTAGCAGTTCGAATATCGATGACTTACGTATATTGACTTTTCGCGAGTAAATCTACTTTCGTATTCACGTATGCACGTGGAGCAATTCCGTTTACATTAGCGACGAGTTTTTATTTTCGACGGTGATTTTCTATATCCTATGGAAACTGAAGCATGCATTTACATCGAATGTTTAGCGTTAATTGTTTTTTTTTTCAAGTTGTTTCTACCCCTTGGAAAAGTGAATGCAAAAAGTAAGCCATAATTGAAATGTGCGTCACTAAGGAGTCGATAATCGGTCGGTTTTATTAATTCGAAAGATAGATTGAGTGCACAGCTATGATCTTTGAGAAAAAAAACCATCAGAAAAGTTTGCTGTGCGAAAAAAGTAAAAAGTACGTCTCTCAATATGCACGCTATCTGAATCAGACGTCAGCATTGTGAGAAGTACCCAATGCAAAAATCGCGAAAGAGAGAGAGAGAGAGGGGGAGAGGGAGACGATACTCGACGGAACCAATTCGAAAAGAGCGAGCGCCAAAATGGCAGCTGACACTCTGCCAAGAGCTTGAGTATCGTTATGCTCGGGAGAAAAATTCGCTTTTCGCATTAGTGCAAAGCCTCTCGCACATGCTAATCTCCACTCGCTTCGCTATTTTTTTGTCACTCGTCGCACGCAGGACAAGTTTTTCTCGCGTGCCGTTGTGAATGGGGGGGGGGGGGGGGGGGCAAGTGAGATATACGACGGGATATATGATGATTGGATCGTCGCTGTGTATACGCGAGAATGGCACTTTCGGCAAGAATTCGCGTCGTCGCGTATATACATCATTCTTATCACTTGTCACAGGCAGTTGTCAGCAACTTTGCTGTCGCAGGCCGTTCTCCCCTGCTACACACATAGCCTAGCTCCGGTCGAAAACTAGCGCGATATATTTTTCTCCGGTAAAGGACGATGTCGAACAACGCTTCGGCGCTTATCCACTGCGCGTGGCTTCGGTTAAAGTTGACTGCAATAAATTCGCGCTTTCAGTGATCTGTTCGCTCCGCCAATTAGTAGATATTTTTCACGTGCGAGTTGGCGTCGCTGACGAGACGAATCGGAAAAATGTAGCTGGTGGCGCGCATTATGCGCGCGGGAGTACGTTACTTGGGAATGACGTTAAGCGTGATTAATGGACGATAAGTGTCTCTCCGCCTGATACAGTTCTCCTCTCGCGCGGACTTAGAGAGGCAGGCAGCAACGTCGCCGTCTACCAGGGCCCCTTTCGGCGCAAGTCACATGCATAATAAATCTGGTGGGCGGGGCAGCAAGCTAAGACTTTCAGCGCCTCGGCCGTTTAATTCCTCGGCGTTCGGGTTGTCTCGCAGTGATCTACTCGCTTGCGCGCCCAGCCCTTGCCGCGCCAAGACATATTGTCATTCAACTCTGTTTGTTCTCTCTCTCTCTCTCTCTCTCTCTCTCTTTCTCTCGATCCTTTATTTTTCGGCTTTTATTTTTACTCGCTGAACTTGGAAACGCTTTACATACCTGATAAAGGTCTCGGGCCGACCTTTTATTTCGCTTCACGAAAACTCGCCTTTCAAACGAATAATTCTTTTATTATGACCCAGTCGTCAAAGGAAACAGAGACAGAAAAACACCATGTTTGTTATCCCTTTTTTTCGTGTGAAATAAAAACTTACCAGTTTCGACTGAAAGGCTTTTTTTGGATTTAACTGTCCCCACAAGTATTTGTGAAATTTGGCGAGGAATGCTGAGAAGTTATGTTTTTACTTTCAATGTTTCTTATGGTTTTTCTTAATTTGTTATTTCGAGTAAAAACGTTTATACTTATGTTTTCGAAAAAAAATTGGAACTACCACGAGTATTTTCGAAAAGGTTTTTTATGTTCTTTAAACTGCTATTCCACCGAGAATATTTGTCACAGAGAATATCCGTAAAATGTAGAAAAATAAATGCATCGTCGTTCATTTTGAGGAAAATAAACGATATTTTTTCTAATTTACTGGCATTTTATTTTACTGGATAGAAAATAAAAATTTTCACATTTTTTAATTTATAGCAATGGAAATTTTCCAGATTTTTGTGACTTTTCAATAAAAAATTTCTTTAGAACTGATATTTGCAGATTTCACGAAATTCGGGACGTAACAAGTTTGCAAATTATTTACTTCCATGTAAATCCTTAAAAAAAGCGCTGCGTACCAACTCTCGACCACGAAAAGTTTTCCGGCACAAATCCGATAAAATACGTGAAAAGAACGCATTTTGAATATTCAAAATAGTAATCCAGAGAACTTGACTGCTGTGGCGCACTCTGTTTTGAAATGCATTTTCAGTTAAGTCCATCTTAGTCGGCTTTGCATATTAAACGAGAAAGGATAAACTAACAAATCGTCCATTACTCGCTTCTTTCAAAATATACTTAAGATCTTGTCTCGGGCCTCAAAATAACGCTAAATTTTACCAAGGCTCGTATAAAAATCAAACAAACAATTAGTAGCCTCAAGCCAAATTAGTTTTAAATTCCCAAAATATATAAGATCCTTTCTTTGCTTAATGAGGAAAAGTCAATAACCAACCACACAAATTTCAAAGTATTATAAAATTGGTCGGAACAGGATTCTAATGAAAATTTTCTGTTGAAATTCTATCCTGATCTCGTAAAATTAACCCGAGCCAAGTAATAAACATAATAATTCGTTGAAGAATCTTGACCCGAACCAGTTCGAACAGCGCAGTCAATGAAAAAAACACTCGACCCCTAAAAAAAAAAAAAGAAATCGAATTTCCATCGGAGAAATAGGCGAGGTAGGGAGAAGCCTCTTGGAGCTATAGAGATTGGCGCCTTACCAAACATTTCAATCAAGACCGCGCGTTTGCGAGAAGATCGCGCCTCTCTCGCTTTAATTTCTATGAAACGTCTGAATTTGCCGCATTGCCACGTGACCGATAAACGTAAGTATGATTAACGTAGGTGAGCTTGCATTCTCGCTTCTTGCTCTGTCTGCTGATTTACGACTTCTCTCTTTGTATGTATATATGCGTGTACGCGCGCGCGCGCGCGCGTGTGTGTGTATTTGTGTGTATGTGTGTATGTGAACATCTACTCTGCGCAGAGAAATTAATTATTCCAGGGAGCGCACCTCAAGAAACGATTCCTCTCGGGATTTGTTGCCTCCACGAACGAACAAACACGCTAGTGAGCATGTGAATATCGACGAGCTAAAAAATTGAGATTTAGTTGGGCACAATTTGGAAATGCGATATCACCAAGCTTGATCAATTTAATAAATGTAATGGAGATGAACATTAATTACATGTCTAAAAGATAAATATTTTTTTTTCTTTATTTTGATTTCTTTTTTCATGCGATATATAATTAATAGCGTAAGTATTGGATGTCGAAGAATGAATGGTAATTGGTTTACGTTCCATGCCAGTGAAAGTCTAACAAATGTCGATATGCGTACATTCAACAAACTAATATGTATGCTAAACTTATTTGTAACGTCATTCAGATTAACAAGCTACGAAGACGCTGCAGTTTATTTTTTATGTACGTCCAGTTATGGGTCGTTTACTGTGGTAAACATGATAGAATATTGATTTCAGCGGTACGAATAATCGAAATCCGGTACTGGAGAGTGAAAAATTGATAACTCAAATAAAGTTTATGTTTTGCGCATTTTCCTTCAACTTGTATTAGTAATTCATGAAGCCATTTAGATGTAAAAATACCCTTCGCTAAGAGAAAATAGTTCATTTTTCTCTAGTTCTTGAATAGAATGAAGATAAATAGCATGATGAAACAAGCAGAAATGTGTATTTAGACTTAGAGAGGAAAAACTCAATAAAGTTTCTTATCAGTTTAACAATAAAGTGAGGCTACTCTGAAAATCTAGGCTTTATAGATCGATACTTCTCCTAAACTTCCCCTAGAATTATTTCTTTTCTTTTTTTTTGTTTTTTTGAGAGAGAAAGAGAGACAGAGAATAAATCCTTATGAATTTTCTTGTTCCGAGAACGCCAAAGCTATTAGTTCCTAACATTCTCTCGTCTTTACTAGAGTATCTTCCAACAATATTAGTTGAATGGCTACTCTTGGATGAAGGTACAAATTTATGGACTTTTTTTTCACTCTACCTTTTCTCCAAAGTATGTTAAATTTAAATTTGCAGCGCGTATTCTGTCACAAATATGTTAACAAATTTTTGAAAGTCCTTTGGCCAATAATGATTTTACATGAATATTAATAAATTCATCAAACTTTTTTTTCTTTATTTACATAACGTTTGATAAATCTGTTAAAATTTGTATAAGATTATTTTGAGTTGTGTAATTTATAAAATCTTATCAAAACTTTGAAAAATTCTTTCTCGAGAGTTTACCCATTCGATTGTAAATTAAATATAGATGAAATATAAATGAATTCATTGAGAAACGTTGTCTCATAAAAACAAAATTATTATTATTATTATTATTTATTCTAGTAACGTTTAGAAAACTTAGCTTTTTCGTATTTTTTTCGCATTCATTTTAATGCACGAATTAGATCAAACCATTTACTGGCAAAATTGCAAATTTACGAAATTCAATATACATTAAATATTCCCACGATTTTATATGATATAACCAACGATATTATTTATTGCTAAATAAATATGCCGTTACGTTGATACGCATGATTTAAAAATCTTATCAATGAAGTTTGAAGTTTTTATCATCCGAAGGTCTGTATTGAAAAATCATTAAAAAGTTTTAAAAACATGATAATAAATGCAATATGGGCTATAAAAATATTATAGTTTTCTATAACCATAGCCTTTGCGATATAAATAACATACTTTGGTAGACGTTCACGGTTGTAATTGACGCATTAAAAAAAAAAT